CCAGCTCACCGTCCCAGGAGCAGGGGCTTGGCTCTGATCCAAGCAATTCATACTTACCTGGCAGGGGCGAGACCATGATCATGAAGGTGGTTCACCCAAGGCGAGGCTCATCCATTGCACTGACCGGGTGTGCTGACCTTTGTGAATTCCCCAAATGTGGGAATCTCAACTGCATAATTTCTGATAGTGGGGGACTGCGTACGCGCTCTCCCCTGATCTCACGTACAAGGAAAGCTTTTCTTTTCTTTTCTTTTCTTTTCTTTTCTTTTCTTTTCTTTTCTTTTCTTTTCTTTTCTTTTCTTTTCTTTTCTTTTCTTTTCTTTTCTTTTCTTTTCTTTTCTTTCCTTTTCTTTTCTTTTCTTTTCTTTTCTTTTCTTTTCTTTTCTTTTCTTTTCTTTTCTTTTCTTTTCTTTTCTTTTCTTTTCTTTTCTTTTCTTTTCTTTTCTTTTCTTTTCTTTTCTTTTCTTTTCTTTTCTTTTCTTTTTGCTGACGACAGGATGCTGTCAACCATGTGGCAAAGGTTTGTCAGCAGAAATCCACAGAATTACTGCCACATTTTTCTGGCATCGCTTCTCGGCCTTTTGGCTAAGATCAAGTGTAGTATCTGTTCTTATCAGTTTAATATCTGATACGTCCCCTACATGGGGGACCAATATTAAATTGATTTTTGGAACTGGGAGATGGAATTAGGAGCTTGCTCTGTCCTCTCCATGCATTGACCTGGTATTGCAGTACCTCCAGGAACGGTGCACCTCCTCTTTACTGTAAAAGTCATTGTGGCAGATTTCTTAGTGCTTTGCTGTTCATTTCCTTTTTCTTGCTTCTCTTTTTAATGCCTTATATACATGTGGAATGTGTTGGTTGTGTTTTAAATCAACCAATGCAGTCAATCAGACAGAGCATTTGCACGTGTAAACTGGTCAAATTAGGTGGACTTTAGCAGCTGATCAACCACGATAGAACCGCCAGGTCTAATGTTTTTGTTCTCCCGGGGCCCAACATTAGGGCACTCTTGTTTCTCTTCAGAGCGTATAAATCTTTCGCCTTTTACTAAAGATTTCCGTGGTGAGGAACAATAAGAGAATATTGCAAATTTTTTGATGCCCTACTTCATTGCGGGGCTTCCTTCATGATGTTCAATGAAATATGTATTCAGTAGTGGCGGGTCATGAAAACCTCACGTACCATTTCGGCACATCCAACAAACTCTACTGATACTGTGCTGCAACAGTGTCGCTTTTGCTGCTCTAAACCCGCGCTTGGTGGATCTTATAAATCCAACTCAATAATTCTATGACCTTTACATACCTGTTTGTACACGTGACTGCATTTTCTGTGGTATTTTTTTTGGCCTTTTATGTGAAGAATAAAGTGAGCAATATTTAATTTGAGGTGCTTTATATATTTTTATTCAAGATAAATAAGTATGTAACAAGTTTTTCCATTCACTCTATTGCCTTCTATGGCATGAAAACGGTTGCTATGGAAATCAGAGATGATTGCATAGCTGTGGTTTCCATAGTGACCAGTGCAATAGTGATGGATATCACGGTTTCCAAGGTGACCATTGACATAACAATTCCATTAGTGATGGTCGCCATAGTGACTATCGCATAACTAGGGATGCCATGGGGAATTATGGCGGCATCGATATCGAGTCATGTCCAGGAGCACGTTCCAAGGTGACCATTGACCTAACAATTCCATTAGTGATGGTCGCCATAGTGACTATCGCATAACTATGGATGCCACGGGGAATTATGGCACGGTTTCCAAGGTGACCATTGACATAAAAATTCCCCTAGTGATGGTTGTCATAGTGACTATTACATATCAATGGTTGCCTTATCGACCTTTGCTACCGTTACCATTGCATCCGTTGCTATTGAAATCACTATTGGAACTATCCTGGAAACCCGTGGCCCATCATTCAGGCACTCTTGTTTCTCTTCAGTGCGTTGTTGTTGTCAAAGGTGGGACCAATGAGGTCTTTTGCTTTGAACCATGCTGGCCAGCTCACCGTCCCAGGAGCAGGGGCTTGGCTCTGATCCAAGCAATTCATACTTACCTGGCAGGGGCGAGACCATGATCATGAAGGTGGTTCACCCAAGGCGAGGCTCATCCATTGCACTGACCGGGTGTGCTGACCTTTGTGAATTCCCCAAATGTGGGAATCTCAACTGCATAATTTCTGATAGTGGGGGACTGCGTACGCGCTCTCCCCTGATCTCACGTACAAGGAAAGCTTTTCTTTTCTTTTCTTTTCTTTTCTTTTCTTTTCTTTTCTTTTCTTTTCTTTTCTTTTCTTTTCTTTTCTTTTCTTTTCTTTTCTTTTCTTTTCTTTTCTTTTCTTTTCTTTTCTTTTCTTTTCTTTTCTTTTCTTTTCTTTTCTTTTCTTTTCTTTTCTTTTCTTTTCTTTTCTTTTCTTTTCTTTTCTTTTCTTTTCTTTTCTTTTCTTTTCTTTTCTTTTCTTTTCTTTTCTTTTCTTTTCTTTTCTTTTCTTTTCTTTTCTTTTCTTTTCTTTTCTTTTCGCTGATGACAGGATGCTGTCAACCATGTGGCAAAGGTTTGTCAGCAGAAATCCACAGAATTACTGCCACATTTTTCTGGCATCGCTTCTCGGCCTTTTGGCTAAGATCAAGTGTAGTATCTGTTCTTATCAGTTTAATATCTGATATGTCCCCTACATGGGGGACCATATATTAAATTGATTTTTGGAACTGGGAGATGGAATTAGGAGCTTGCTCTGTCCTCTCCATGCATTGACCTGGTATTGCAGTACCTCCAGGAACGGTGCACCTCCTCTTTACTGTAAAAGTCATTGTGGCAGATTTCTTAGTGCTTTGCTGTTCATTTCCTTTTTCTTGCTTCTCTTTTTAATGCCTTATATACATGTGGAATGTGTTGGTTGTGTTTTAAATCAACCAATGCAGTCAATCAGACAGAGCATTTGCACGTGTAAACTGGTCAAATTAGGTGGACTTTAGCAGCTGATCAACCACGATAGAACCGCCAGGTCTAATGTTTTTGTTCTCCCGGGGCCCAACATTAGGGCACTCTTGTTTCTCTTCAGAGCGTATAAATCTTTCGCCTTTTACTAAAGATTTCCGTGGTGAGGAACAATAAGAGAATATTGCAAATTTTTTGATGCCCTACTTCATTGCGGGGCTTCCTTCATGATGTTCAATGAAATATGTATTCAGTAGTGGCGGGTCATGAAAACCTCACGTACCATTTCGGCACATCCAACAAACTCTACTGATACTGTGCTGCAACAGTGTCGCTTTTGCTGCTCTAAACCCGCGCTTGGTGGATCTTATAAATCCAACTCAATAATTCTATGACCTTTACATACCTGTTTGTACACGTGACTGCATTTTCTGTGGTATTTTTTTTGGCCTTTTATGTGAAGAATAAAGTGAGCAATATTTAATTTGAGGTGCTTTATATATTTTTATTCAAGATAAATAAGTATGTAACAAGTTTTTCCATTCACTCTATTGCCTTCTATGGCATGAAAACGGTTGCTATGGAAATCAGAGATGATTGCATAGCTGTGGTTTCCATAGTGACCAGTGCAATAGTGATGGATATCACGGTTTCCAAGGTGACCATTGACATAACAATTCCATTAGTGATGGTCGCCATAGTGACTATCGCATAACTAGGGATGCCATGGGGAATTATGGCACGGTTTCCAAGGTGACCATTGACCTAACAATTCCATTAGTGATGGTCGCCATAGTGACTATCGCATAACTATGGATGCCACGGGGAATGATGGCACGGTTTCCAAGGTGACCATTGACATAAAAATTCCCCTAGTGATGGTTGTCATAGTGACTATTACATATCAATGGTTGCCTTATCGACCTTTGCTACCGTTACCATTGCATCCGTTGCTATTGAAATCACTATTGGAACTATCCTGGAAACCCGTGGCCCATCATTCAGGCACTCTTGTTTCTCTTCAGTGCGTTGTTGTTGTCAAAGGTGGGACCAATGAGGTCTTTTGCTTTGAACCATGCTGGCCAGCTCACCGTCCCAGGAGCAGGGGCTTGGCTCTGATCCAAGCAATTCATACTTACCTGGCAGGGGCGAGACCATGATCATGAAGGTGGTTCACCCAAGGCGAGGCTCATCCATTGCACTGACCGGGTGTGCTGACCTTTGTGAATTCCCCAAATGTGGGAATCTCAACTGCATAATTTCTGATAGTGGGGGACTGCGTACGCGCTCTCCCCTGATCTCACGTACAAGGAAAGCTTTTCTTTTCTTTTTTCTTTTCTTTCTTTTCTTTTTTTCTTTTCTTTTTCTTTTTTCTTTTTCTTTTCTTTTCTTTTCTTTTCTTTTCTTTTCTTTTCTTTTCTTTTCTTTTCTTTTCTTTTCTTTTCTTTTCTTTTCTTTTCTTTTCTTTTCTTTTCTTTTCTTTTCTTTTCTTTTCTTTTCTTTTCTTTTCTTTTCTTTTCTTTTCTTTTCTTTTCTTTTCTTTTCTTTTCTTTTCTTTTCTTTTCTTTTCTTTTCTTTTCTTTTCTTTTCTTTTCTTTTCTTTTCTTTTCTTTTTCTTTTCTTTTCTTTTTCTGATGACAGGATGCTGTCAACCATGTGGCAAAGGTTTGTCAGCAGAAATCCACAGAATTACTGCCACATTTTTCTGGCATCGCTTCTCGGCCTTTTGGCTAAGATCAAGTGTAGTATCTGTTCTTATCAGTTACTGGACTTGTTTCACGCTTTGGGCTGAGACAGCGGTCGCCTCTGGGGTCAACGAGGTGTTTGCCCTCGTGGCACTCATCATTGGCCTCAGAGGATATATTGTATATTTTGTTTAATTAACTTATTGTTTTCTTCCCTTTCCCCAGCCCCGGTTTATAAGCACCTGCACTTTATCTGTAAGTACATTTTAAGTGGTTTTAGCCTGCACATATTTATTGTTTTTTAGTGGTTTTAGCCTGTTTTTATTAGTGGTTTTACTTGTGTTTTAGGCTGCTGGTGCCTCCAGAATGTCGGCCTCCCATGCCGGCAGGAGGAGGCACCACAGCGTGCGCTTCACCCTCAGAGAGGTAGATGGGAAAGTACTGGCCTTTTCCCGCCTGGACTTTTCCAGACACTTGGTGCAGAAGGCCCTCGGCTTCAAACCCGAGGATCTTAACTGTATCCTGTCTCTGCCCTTCAACAAAGGGTTTGATGTGAGCTTCAGGTCGGAAGCTAAGTTGAAGGACTTTTGGGCCAAGTACTCTGGGGTGAAATCCCAGTTTAATGCATTCTTGGTGGAGGGCCTGGTGGACAATTCACTGAAACATGTGATTGTTCGAATGTTCAATGAAACTGTGAATGCAGAGGACATTTGTCTGTGGCTGGGTAGACACTGCACGGTGAAGGGCCAGGCTATCAAGGTCAGAGATGTGGATGGCATTTGGACAGGCAGCTGGAGGGTCCCCATCCAACAATGGCTGGACCCCCAGGGCTACCAAGGCCTGAAGCACCTGCCTAGTGTGATAGTTCTGGGAGACAACCGTGGCTACATACACTACCAAGGACAACCCAAGCTCTGCCGGCGTTGTGGGGAGCACGGGCACTTAGTGGAAGCATGCACTCAAGTGGTCTGCGGTAAGTGTAGAGAAATTGGGCACACTTTTGACCAGTGTACCAATGGCAGAAAGTGCAATCTCTGTGGTGACCTGGGTCACCTCTTTAGAGATTGCCCAAAATCTTTTGCCAACAAATTGAAGGCCGGGAACAGAAAGATGGAAACTGAATGTGGACAGGATGGTGGACAAGATGGCGGACCAACTGAAGAGTTGATTGGAGAGGTGGGGCTGGGAAATTCAAATCTCCCGCCAAAACCCCCCACTGGAGGAGAGGAGAGGGGTAAGGCGGGAGAGGGGGAAGGGCCTGCGGAGGCCCCTCCCACACAGGAGGGGGAGCTGGGGCCTGCGGAGGCCACTCCCACAGAGAGGCTGGTGGAGGAGCAGAGGCCCGAGGCTCCTCCCACAAACACCATGGTGCAGAGGGAGCAGGAGGCCCCTCCCGCACAGAAAGAGGTGGAGGAGCAGAGGCCTGAAGCTCCTCCCACCCACACCATGGTGGAGGGGGATCAAGAGGCCCCGCCCCCAGTGGAGAAACACCAGCCAAACCAAAAAAAGGCTGTGGGGGAGGGGGACCCTCTTGACCCCCTAAACAAATGCCTAAGCCTCCTGTTAAAGGAACCCAACAACCCCAAGAGGCCTCTGTCAGAGTCGTCCTCTGGAAATGAAGAGTTTCCAGAGAAGAGGGGGAGAGCTGGGTCTCCTTCAGACAGTGACTCTGTGGAGGAGCCCAGAGTCTTTCCCTCCGACTCGCCCAACGAGGTCTCTTTCCTCTCCGGAGCCAGACACTCGACTCCGAAGCTCCCCCTAGAGGAGGAGCGTAGGAGGGATCAGGCTACATCCCCTCCCTCACCCATTGATGAGGAGTCGGAGCCAGATCCACAGAGGATAAACATGACCTGGTTTTAACTTGTTTTACTTGTGTTTTAACCAGTTTTAATGTTTTATCCTTTTAGTCTTTTAATGTTTTACCTTTTTAAAACCATACTCATGGCGATCACACTCTCTACCATCAATGTGAGAAGTGTGAAGTCTAGAGTTAGAGCACAGAGCATTTTAACCAGTCTTAAATCTTTTAATTCAGATGTGTTTTTATTGCAAGAATGTTCCCTACCGTTTTTAAAGCACTACAGAACCTGGGAGGATTTGTGGCCAAACACCTCACTGTGGAGCGGCTCAAATGATAACAATAATGACGGCGTGGCCATTTTAATCAACAACCCCCTGGTGACGGTAAAGGGCAGCACTGTGGTGAGAGACGGACGGGCACTTTTGATACATCTGGATTTTATGGGACGGGTTTTTAAGCTCTTAAATATATATGGTTTTAACAATAAAAATAAAAGGTACAAACTTTTAGAAGACCTGCAGTCCCACATGCTAGGGACAGCTCCTTTTATCTTAGCGGGTGATTTTAACTGTGTTTTAACCAAGAAAGATAGGAACAGAACAGGGGATTTTAATCTAGACAAGACGTCGGTTTTATTGCAGGGTTTATGTAGGGATTTTAAGCTACAGGACTGTTTTAAAACCATGCATCCAAGAGAGGAGGGCTTCACCTGGTTCAGTGGTGATGGCACCAGAGCCTCTCGCATTGACTATGTTTTTACCAGGGATTGCCCACCCACCGATGCTAGATTGACCCCTGTTTTCTTTTCCGATCACCTGATGCTTTCCTGCACCTTTTCACTGTCCTCCGGTGTGACTGTAGGAAGAGGTCTGTGGAAGCTCAACTGCTCCCTGTTAAAGGAGACTGACGTAGTCCGTCAGTACAGGGAGCAGTACAAAGAGTGGCAGACCCTTCAGGACTTGCACGAGACACGAGCACACTGGTGGGAGATGGTGAAAGCCCGGACTAAGACCTTTTTTAGACGGGTGGGTAGGAAGAAGATAGGGAAAGAAAACAACCGCATGTTGGGACTGCAGAAAAGACTACAGAGGTATTTTAATTTGACACAAAATGGTTTTGATTTTAATGAAGATATTAAACAAATTAAAAAAGAAATGATGGTTTTATCAGAAATTAAAAGTCAGGGAATCATTTTAAGAGCAAAAGAAAAAGAAATAGAGGAAGGCGAAAAATGTACGAGGTACTTTTTTAAGAAAATTTTAAATAAAAGTAAATCAATTTTAAACTTAAGAGATAGTGAAGGCCAACTGGCAAAAAACACGGAAGAAATAATGAAAATAGTTGAATGTTTTTATACTAAGCTGTATAGTTTTAAACCCATTGATTTTAACATCACCTCCGACCTTTTAAACTCCCCGGAAAACATTTTAAAAGACACTGCTATTTTAACCCACGATTTTACCCTTTTAGATTTGTCCACCCAAATCCGGACTTTTAAAAGGGGGAAATCCCCGGGGGCCGATGGGCTCCCGGTGGAATTTTATTTAACTTTCTGGGATATTTTAGCAGATGACCTTTTAAATGTTTTTATGGAGTTTGAACGACTAGGCCGACTACCTGACAGTTTTAGAGAAGGGATAGTGACTCTACTTCCCAAAGACAAAGACAAGACTGACTTGACCAACTGGAGACCTATCACCCTTTTAAATGTCGATTGCAAACTTTTTAGCAAGATTTTAGCTTCACGTCTGTCTGTGTTTTTAGAGGGATTGATTCACCCGGATCAAGCCTGTGCCGTACCCGGGAGGAGGATCACCGACAGCCTCGTACTGATCCGAGACACCATCTGTTATGCGAGAGACAGAAACATTCGGCTAGTAGTCCTAAATCTAGACTTTGAGAAAGCCTTCGATCGGGTCTCGCACCAGTACCTCTTTGAGGTGCTGCGAAAAGTGGGTTTACCTGACAGGTATATAGAGTGGGTGGGGCTGCTATACCGTGGGATCAGCAGCAGATTCATTGTTAACGGGCATTTGACAAAGGCAGTGCAAATCAACTGCGGTGTCCGTCAGGGCTGTCCGTTATCTGCCCTCCTGTACATACTCTGCATCGAGCCGCTGGCACAGGTCTTGAGAAGGGACCAAAGAATCAGGGGGGTGGGCATCCCGGGTGGGGGGGGGCTCACCGCCAAATGTGTTTTATATATGGACGACGTGAATGTTTTATGCACCGACCTTTTATCCGTCAACAGGACTCTGGACTTGACTGACTGGTTTGGACTGGCCTCTGGGTCTAAGCTCAACAGAGCGAAGACCCAAGCCCAATTTTATGGACCCTGGACCCCCGACGAGACTGCTGGACTCCCCCTGACCGTGACCCAAGGACAAAAAATACTGGGAATCAGGTTTGACCGGGAGGGGGGAGGGAGTCAAAACTGGGGCGACGTCATAGGGAAAGTTAGGCAACGACTGGGGTTCTGGACTCTTAGAGGACTGACCATGGAAGGGAAGGTTTTAATCATCAAAGCCGTGATTTTACCTTTGTTTTTACTCATTTGTTCTGTTTTTATGCCTCCTAGGAGAGCGATTTTAAACCTGGAGAGGGCGGTGTTTTATTTCATCTGGGGCTCCAAGTGGGAGCGGGTGAGGAGGGAGGTCCTGAAGAAGCCAAAGGAGAAAGGAGGCAAAGGCGTGCCGGACCTCCCTCTGTTCCTTGGAGCCCGCTTCACCGCCCTTCACCTCGCTCTGGCGACGAGCCCATCCAGAAACCCCAAAACAACTGCTTTTACAAGATTCTGGATGGGCTCCTTTTTAAGAAGGAAAAAGTTTTTACCCATTGACCTAAGAGTCCCTGTGTCTTTTAACCTGCCCTTGTTTTATGCTTTTATCCCGACCTTTTTAAAGCGTTTTAACTTGGAGCAGGAGGAGTTGCAGGTTTTAACCAAACACCGTCTTTTAATCTCCTGTGTGCAGGAGCGGGAACCAGTGAGCCCGGTGCGCGGGCTCGCAATCGGCGAGCCCTCACAGGTGTGGCGCAACGTGAACCATCCTGCTCTGCCAAACAGACTCCGGGACCTGTCCTGGATGGTGGCTCATGAGGTCCTCCCAGTCAGGTCCGTCATGCACTCCCGGGGCCTCTTGCAGTCCGCGACCTGTCCCCGGCCGGGTTGTGGCGCGCCCGAGTCGGTGAGACACTTGCTCTGGGAGTGCAGCGCCGCCGTCGACCAGTGGGCAATAGCCGGCTCCTTGCAATTCCCGTACCTACCAGCAGGGGAGGTCCTCACAGCACAGCTGATGCTGTACGGGGTGGGCCTAAGTCCGAGTGCAAAGAAGGACTTCACAAGAATCTGGCTCACCCTCGCCGCCACCAAAGACGCCATATGGACCTCCAGAAACCTGCTGGTAGGAAGGCACATGCAGATCCCCCCCGTGGCTGTGATCCGGATGGCAGCAGCCACAGTCCGAGAGGCTGTGGCTGCAGGCGGCGGGCCCTAGGACACAGCCACACAGAAGCATCGCCTCTGTGCTCATTCGGACGAAGGAGACCGAAGCCGCACTGAAGGTCAAAGCCGCAACGGCCTGACTCTCCGGGAGCGGACGGTGGGAAGGAGCAAGGGCGAGGACCTCTGAGCAAGACAGGCCCGAGAGACCAAATGTTTGGTAGAGCAGGATGAGTCCGACTTGATAGGGACTCACCCCGCTTCTGCACAAGGAGGGCTTTTATTCACTGCACTCCGTTTTAATTGACACTTTTTATGGGTTTTTATGACACCTGTTTTTATGGACATTTTTGACACATTTTAAACACAACCCTGGTTTTATGGAAATTACTTATTTTTAACCTTGTATGTTGTGTTAAATGAAAAATGTATGTGTTGTTTAAATGCCATAATGATGACTTGTGTCAATAAACTTTTTCGAATGAAAAAATCTGTTCTTATCAGTTTAATATCTGATATGTCCCCTACATGGGGGACCATATATTAAATTGATTTTTGGAACTGGGAGATGGAATTAGGAGCTTGCTCTGTCCTCTCCATGCATTGACCTGGTATTGCAGTACCTCCAGGAACGGTGCACCTCCTCTTTACTGTAAAAGTCATTGTGGCAGATTTCTTAGTGCTTTGCTGTTCATTTCCTTTTTCTTGCTTCTCTTTTTAATGCCTTATATACATGTGGAATGTGTTGGTTGTGTTTTAAATCAACCAATGCAGTCAATCAGACAGAGCATTTGCACGTGTAAACTGGTCAAATTAGGTGGACTTTAGCAGCTGATCAACCACGATAGAACCGCCAGGTCTAATGTTTTTGTTCTCCCGGGGCCCAACATTAGGGCACTCTTGTTTCTCTTCAGAGCGTATAAATCTTTCGCCTTTTACTAAAGATTTCCGTGGTGAGGAACAATAAGAGAATATTGCAAATTTTTTGATGCCCTACTTCATTGCGGGGCTTCCTTCATGATGTTCAATGAAATATGTATTCAGTAGTGGCGGGTCATGAAAACCTCACGTACCATTTCGGCACATCCAACAAACTCTACTGATACTGTGCTGCAACAGTGTCGCTTTTGCTGCTCTAAACCCGCGCTTGGTGGATCTTATAAATCCAACTCAATAATTCTATGACCTTTACATACCTGTTTGTACACGTGACTGCATTTTCTGTGGTATTTTTTTTGGCCTTTTTATGTGAAGAATAAAGTGAGCAATATTTAATTTGAGGTGCTTTATATATTTTTATTCAAGATAAATAAGTATGTAACAAGTTTTTCCATTCACTCTATTGCCTTCTATGGCATGAAAACGGTTGCTATGGAAATCAGAGATGATTGCATAGCTGTGGTTTCCATAGTGACCAGTGCAATAGTGATGGATATCACGGTTTCCAAGGTGACCATTGACATAACAATTCCATTAGTGATGGTCGCCATAGTGACTATCGCATAACTAGGGATGCCATGGGGAATTATGGCACGGTTTCCAAGGTGACCATTGACCTAACAATTCCATTAGTGATGGTCGCCATAGTGACTATCGCATAACTATGGATGCCACGGGGAA